TCTTTAATATTTCAATTTCTTTAGTGAATTTTTCTTCCAAGTCCTGGATTTTTTTTGTGGTTTCTTTGTGTTGGTTATCCATTTTTTCTTGGATATCCTTCAGTTTTCTTGCAATCCATGTTTGAAATTCTACCTCTGTCATTTTAGTGTTCTGAGTTTGGTTAATGTCCATTGCTGGCGAGCTGTTGTTCCTATTTGAGGGTGTGCTTTCCTATTGAGTCTTCATACTTCCAGAGTTCTTTCGCTGGTTCCTTCCCATCTGGATCAGTTGTTCCTTCTTGCCTTTAAATTTTCGTTTGGATAATGACACGCCCTGTTTAGTCTCTGAGCCGGTAGGTGGTGTTTGTGGGTGAGATCCGACCACACCCTTTATGATGAATCAGTAGATGCAGTAAAAGGGTGTGCAGGATGACCTCCCTGTCAGTAGGTGGCACTTGCAGGGAGGAGCGAGCTGCAGTCCTGTTTTTGGGTCCTGTAGCTAGCTCTTATTCCTCTAGAGAGGCCCTCTTGTGCCTCGGGTGGTGGGTGGGGCCCTGGGATTTCCAGGTATGTCCTTATTCTCCCCCTCAGTGGGAGGAGTGAGTCTGGGTGGGGCTGGGTTGGGTAAGCCTGCCCTCAGGCTCCACCATTGCTATTAGCAGGGGTCAAAGTTCTTCTCTTTGTTTCTGTGCAGAGCTGCCTGGAGGGGCTGAAATGGCTCCACTCAGCTGAAAGTCTGGGCTTGGGGGCTGGGGCTGTCCAAGACCCGCACTCTGGAGCAGATCTCGCTCCCCTCCATTCTCCCCCACTCCGTGGCCTCTCCCAGCCCTCTGCCAGCAAGCAGGGCCTCAGGCCTATGGATCTCCCCTGGCTGTGATGTGGGCGGTGGGCGGGAGGTTCCCTACTCAGGATCGTAGCCTGAGCTGTCCTTATTCTCCCCCTCAGTGGGGGCAGGACCGGGTGAGTCTGGGTGGGGCTGGGTTGGATAAGCCTGCCCTCAGGCTCCACAGCTGCTGTTAGCAGGGGTCAAAGTTCTGCTCTTTGTTTCTGTGCAGAGCTGCCAGGAGGGGCTGAAACGGCTCCACTCAGCCAAAAGTCTGGGCCTGGGGGGTGGGGCCGTCCAAGACCCGCACTCTGGAGCAGGTCTCACTCCCCTCCAATCTCCCCCTCTCCATGTCCTCTCCCAGGCCTCCGCCAGCAAGCGGGGCCCCAGGCTGATGGATCTCCCCTGGCTGTGACGTGGGCTGGGAGGTTCCCTACCCAGGATCGCAGCCCGAGCTGGGTGCACAGCCCTATTCTAGGAGGAGGGTTGCCGGTCAGGCATGCTGATCTGCCCCCGAAGGCACACACTCCTCAGTAGGCTCTTTCACAGATCTCTCTTCTGTGCCCCAGGGCAGTGCGATCCTGACCCGGGTGCACGGGTCTAGTATGCACGCCTGACCCCTGGACCCAGGAGATCAATCCCTGACCCTGCCAGGAGGAGGGGTGTTGGTCTCGAATTACCTACAGGGTGCCCAAGCTGGATCGACCTCACCCCACCCCGGGATTTGCCCCGCTCTCCTGGAGTCCCCAGGCAAGTAGCACCTGGGAGGGCTGGCGGGTAGGGAACTCACAGTCTGAGTACCCCTCAGTCTGCTGTAGGGCCCCAAAAGCAAAGGTCCCGTTCCTTGGAGATGCCTCCGTGTGATGGCTAAATTGTCTCTCTGGGCACGCATGGGTAGGGAGGGGGAAACGAGAGAATTTAGCACTATGGCGTCTGCCGCTAGGCTCCGGTCTGCGCCCGGGGAGTGCCTCGAAGGGGCTGGGAGCCCGGCACTGAGTCCGCAAGAGGCCACTGCTCACTGGCGGCAGCTGTCTCTGGGATGGTGCCGGCAGGTCTCTCCAGCAGCTCAGGAACCACCCGCAGTCCGAGATGCAAGGGAGGGGGAAGTTTACTGCTCCACCTATCCTTGTCGCTGGTCTCCAAGCCTCTCAGGACCTTTCTCCTTCCAGTTCTCCTCCGTAGCGTCTTCCCGTGGAGTCTCCTGTAGTTTCAGGCACCCTTCCTTCCGACCCTCACCCGATCTATGTTTCTCTGCTCGCTTTTTTTCTCTTTCTTCTAAAATTCGTCTTTTTTTTGCAGAGACCTTCTGACTGGCGGCTTGTCTCATCCGCCATCTTGGCTCCTCCCTGAATTTTCTTTTTATTTGGATTTTTTTCCTGATTTATAGGATTTATTTATTTTTTTTT